CCGATTAGCTACCCCTACCTGGACCCCGCAGTGGTTCAGAACACCGTGTCCATAAAACCCTGCAGGGCAACTCCTCCCAGTGCTCAGAGCACTTTGCACCTGGCCTGAGAATGTCTCAACAGAGCCAGCGGGAGGTTTCAGGGAGATCTGGCTGGCAGTGCTCAAAATGTGACCTCAAAACCAGAAGGCAAATAAAGAAAACCTCACATATGTTAAGATTAATCTAATTATTTTTAAGCCATTCTCGTGATTATGGAGGGCCTGGCTCCTGGGATTTGAACACATGGTGTTGGCAAGACTTGCATTTAAAGTGTGCTCACTGGGCAGCTGAATTAGATGACAGAACAAGGAGCAATGGTCTCAAGTTGCAGTGGGGGAGGTCCAGGTTGGATATTAGGAAAAACTATTTCACTAGGAGGGTGGTGAAGCACTGGAATGGGCAGCGGGGTTACCAGCACGTGGTTCTCACCCCTGAGCCAGGCCAGTCAGCTGGGTTTAAAGCCCCACCAAGCCCAGCTGGGAGCATTTTATCTGTGGACAGGAGGGGGGACAGGAGGGTGGTGAAGCACTGGAATGGGTTCCCTCGGGAGGTGGTGGAATCTCCATCCTTAGAGGTTTTTAAGGCCTGGCTTGACAAAGCCCTGGCTGGGATGATTTAGTTGATGTTGGTCCTGCTTTGTGCAGGGGGTTGGACTAGATACCTCCTGAAGTCTCTTCAACCCTAATCTTCTATGATTAGCATCCACTGCTGTGAATCTGGGAAGTAGCCCATCCTCAGGGTAATGGACTCAGGCTCTCGGCAGATTCAGGCAGCATTGCTGTGTCAGTTACACTGGGGACAGTTCCCCCCTCTCAGAGCGATCAGCTCAGGCTCTCTGCTGACTCAGGCAGGCATCTCTGCATTCACCACACTTGGGGCAGTTCCCCTTCTCAGAACAATTAGCACAGGCTTCCTGCAGACTCAAGCAGATGTTGCTGCATTGGTTACACATGGGGCAGTTCCCCCCCCGCTTCAGATTGATTGTTTCCCAGGCTCTCTGCAGACTCAAGCAGACATCACTGTGTCAGTTCCATTCAGGGCAGTTTCCCCTTCTCCGAGCTATCATCTCAGGATGGCTGAAGACTCAGGTAAGCACCTCTACATCGCTTACTCTGCTTGGGAAGTTTCTCCCCAACTATATCAATTTAATTCTCATGGTTATCAAGCCAATCTTATGATTTTTGCAGAGCCAGACTCAGTACTTTTGAACACTGGTTGCTGGCAAACTCGGAAACCCTCAAACCATATTGTGACCCAATGCCAACACTCCCTCCCTGGCAAAGGACCCCCAGAGATTATCAGTATTATACAAGACCAAAAATACCCTTTGCCAAGTAAGTGTTTAAGAAACTTTACGATTATGGAATCAGTAGTTACCAATCCTGGGCATCATGAGTCAGGTGCG